TTCTGGTCTTGGATTTTCTTGTTCTCTAGGCTTTTGCAGTGGAGAACTTGTAGTTTTTTTTGTTTGTTGCATTGGTGTTTTGGCTAGTTTATTTGTGTTTGGGTTGTTTGAGTTTCTAGGCCGCCGTGGAGCGTGTCCTCTCAGTTTTTTAGTTTCGGTTTTCAGTTTGTACTTGGATCCTTATTTTTTGAGTTATATATAGCCTCTATCGTTTCGGAAAAAAAAAAAAAAAATAATATAGAAGAAGTTGTTGTCATTGTGATTATAAGAGGAAAAATAACTTGGGTACAAAATGAGAAGTGAGCAGTAGTTGCGGTTTTTTGTTTGTTGTGGCAGTTCAATAAAAATTTCTTCAAAGTGAGCAGATTCCTAATAATTTTTATTTGAAAGATAATTTCGGACTTGCCCAAAATTGACATAACATATTTTAGCATACATTATTTCCAAGTAAAAATCATTCATCAAAATTATTCATACATATTGTTCTCCTCATTACCCACTAATGTGCACTACTGTCCAAAAGAATAAAAGAAAACAAAAATTGTAGTATGGACATTTTTGCCAAAGAACCACAATACAAGTTCATGTCAACACGTTTGCTAGTACATGGAGTGAAAGGACTTTAAAAAGATTCCCTACAGGCTGCAAGGCTGCAAACCACAATAATAATAAAAAAAATCGATTGGGGTACAAATTTTGTTGTTCACGGGTGCAAATGAATAGCATACTTCAATAATACTCTCTCAATCTATAAAATGGAGTAGACCTAAACTCATTACACCAAAACACAAACAAATTAGTTCAACTACACCATGTTTCCCGAACAGTCAATGTGTTCTTGTGGCAAAGGTCCTATGAAGAGTTTTATGGCACGTACCGAAAAAATTATGGTAAGTATTTTTTTTTATGTCCAGTCGGGCAACAATACCATAGAAGTCTCATATGGGCATTTGATATGAACCGAGAATGTAATTCGCAAGAGAGTTTCAATACTCACGGGACAACGCAAAATGGTGCACAGAGCAGCAGACAGAGTCATCCTGTTTCACATTGTGGAGACGCGTCGACTTCAACAACAAGGTCCAGGACGAACACACTCTCGTCAACTTGTCTCAACATTTCTAATCGCTTGCCCAATATGTATTTTCACTATTCTTGGCAGTTTTTGGAATGTTATGTCTTATAGTGTAATACCCCGTTTTATTGTGGATTATTTGGGAGTAATTATTGATTATTGCTATT